AATTCACCCTACACATTGAAAGGAAGATAGGTTTCCCATACTGGGCTCTCTTCACACGAACTGTGCATTTTCTAGGTCGCAATTAGTGATGAAGGGCCGATAGTTGAATTGTCTAATTATGAAATAGGTAGTGTGACAACTTAAATTTCAAAGGAAAAGTTGCCCAGAATTTATTTACTTTTCGTTTTTAACTAGGCTTTTGAGATGTGTTCATTATATTTCGTTTAGGTTGATCAAGGATTTGCAATTGAATTCTCTCACAATTATATGAGTAGGCCTCATTTTCTAATGAATGTCACATGGTCATGCTTTCCAAAAAGGTAGTCTCATCCAGGCTGAAGTGAAGTGTATATTCGACCTCGCTCCAACTGGTCTCAACAGCACCCTCTGCGGGACTCGAACCATGCCAGTGCAGCGTGCAATCCTGACATGTCAACCACCACGCCACATTGTCACGAGTGTCCTTGGTCCACAGGGCAGATGGGCATTTCAAGGAAGGTCAGGCATTTTCCCGTGCCACATTCTGTGGTGGAATTTTTGATGAAGCAAATTTATATGTGCTGTAGCAATCGACAAGATTTTTTATTTTTCGGTTGTAAGTACGTTTTCGATGCTTTCGGAAGCCTAGCACGGGTTCATCAAAGTCGCCTGAGGGTAGGCCGATGGCTTCTTCGGACAATTCAACAATCTGCACTCCAAAACAATCCTTCATCGTTTTGCGATAATGGCGTAGATCCCATTCGCTTGCAGCCTCTTTATCAGAGGGCCTAGTTCCGCAAAAAGTAGATCAAGTTCAAATGCAACCTGTCGGTCATTTCTACCAACGTTTTGACATTTGGCAGGAGCAAATCCCATGGGCACGCGTCACGAGAAGACCTGGTCTCTGGTTGACCCTTCGCTAAAGCTGGACTGCCAAGCTCGAAGGTCCGGCTGCTCTGGCGGCCCAGGTCGGTGGCGTGTTTTCGCGATAGCGAGCAAGAGCATGCGAGCGGGAGAGAGTGAAAGAGTGGGAGAGAAAGAGTTGTAATACGGGCAGACTTTAATCGGTAAAGGTTGCAACTGCCGGACTGACTAAGGCTTGCGAAAACATTCCGTTTGCCAGAGGAAACAATTGAATCAATCTTCATTTTATGCTGGCTCCGCAACTAATAATTACCACCCCAACTCTCACCTGTGCAATGGGCACAAGAGGGTAGTGCACATGTTTGCAGGCGCAAACTGGCCCGGACATGGGGGAAGAGGCTCCGGCTAAAAGGCCAAGTTGTGTTGTCCTATCCTATCGCCTAATCTTGTCTGCGTGTCTACTCCCTTCCGAGGTGGCATTCGGACTGCCCAACAGCCGACCGCTCGACCGCGAAATAAAACCACACTCACATAAATCGGGTGGCCCCAAACCGGGGAGAATCTATTCGTCCAAGCCTCGTGTAGGCATGCCAATATGTGCGTTTTGTGACTATACCCCTTGCGAATGCACACACTGGCATGTATA